AAATCCGAAGATATCTTTGAATCCAGCTCGTGGACACTATAAGAATGTGCTTTGATACTTTGGAAAAGCTCCATATAGGATTGCGCCATGCTCTCAATTTTCATCAAAAAGTAGTTGCTCGCATTTGATGTTTATATAATCCCGCTTATGCGGGCTGACCGCTACACACAGAGAAGGGCCTCAAATCTGACCCCAGAATGCGCCACGTCACGTACTCAATCTCATCCACTACATTGTGAGATTAGATGAATGTTATTTTCCGAATTCTTAGATCTTCATTTCGTTTTTGAGCGCTTACTGGCTTTACGTGTTCCCTCTGCTCTCAATATCCCATCCCCTGTATATCAAGTGGAATCTTTGAACAGTTCTCGGCAGGCATAACGGGTCTATTATGTGACATTTTCCATTTTCAGAGGAGATGTTTTGCAGAAAGCTGTGAAGATAGCGAACAATTTCCTTCACTGTCGTAGACTACGGTCACTTGTCTGTAAGGATTATATGGAAACCTTGGTCGCAGGTGAGCGTTTCTTCCGTGGTGTGACCCCAAACATCACCCCTTGTCATGCCTTTGCTCCTTAGGCACCTTTCTCAGAGCGCCGACTGTCAGACCGTGGAAAAGGTCATCGAATCGGAGACTTTCCCACGACAGGAAGGAGCCAGAAGCATGTTTCACGTTTTCGACAACGGAGAATAACGATGGCTCTTGCTACTCTTTAGCGACACAATCGTCAATGAGAGCTACTGGGCTTAGCCTTGAAGGACGTGTACGAGACGCTCAAGTTGAATAATCTGCACTTACTGGTTGCGATCCATGGGGTTGATGTCTGTGCCACTATGCCATTCATGTCAACGATCCATGAGCCTGATCAACGACGAACGGCACAACGGCTGGATTTGCAATCGTCGAGCGTGCCGCACTGGACCGTCGAACGAGACCAGGGTCTACGTTCATGCCCGAAAGGATTCCTTTTTCGAGAACTGTAACTTTCCTGAGTCCACGGTGTTCGCACTGCCCTATTTCTGGCTGCGCGACATGGGCAAGGTGAAGGACAAGGAATACGAGCTCAATGTCGGCCACACCAGTTCAATTCAGTGGGAGCGGTTCTTCCGCGGGGCACTTCAGGAGGAACCCGCCGATCATCGGAAGGTTCGGGTGCGAGATGGAAATTGACGAAACACTGGTTATCAAACGCAAATACAACCGCCGACGTTGGGTACGCAGGCACAAGTAGGCATTGAAAGAGGAAGTGGACTTCGGATGGTCCGAAGGAAAGACGTACATCAAGCCCGGTACTACCATCCTCAGTGACAGCTGGAGAGCTTACAGTCGAATTGCTGCTCTGCCCAACGCATACAGGCATCTCCAGTGAAAACGTGAAATATGCTTCTGGCTTAGCTCACAGTTTTCCACGGTCTGGCTCCTTCCTGTCGTGGGAAAGTCTCCGATTCGATGACCTTTCCCACGGTCTGGCTCCTTCCTGTCGTGGGAAAGTCTCGTCGTACTTGATCTTCCTGGCCTGCATCATCAGATCTTCGATGTGAGCTTCGGATGCAAGCGTTCGTGCGTTGAAAGTACAGATCGCCATCTTAGTCCTTCTTCGTTTAGGCAGCCTATCCGGGCCCTGAGATTCTAGCAGCCTCTCCCGAGCGGTCCTACCCAACGCTGCCGTATTGGGGGCTCCCTCAGGTTCAGGGGAATGAGGCCCATCCATATTGCTGTTTTCGGCATATTGAAGGCACACGAGTAGCTTGC